ATATCCCCATTAATGATTGGGTCTTAAAAATATTTTTTTTTCTTTCTTGCTCGATTGTTCAGCTTTTCTTTGAGAGAGTAAGTATGTTAGGCATAAGGGACATTTCAGCTTGGATCGTGCTTATTTAACATTGTCTCATACATGTAAAACTTTATATCTGTTCTTATACATTAGCACCCAACAGGTAAAATAAATGGAAATATTTTGTAAAAAAATATAGTATGAGTCTTCAATCAATGATGTTCTTTTAAATGATAGAAATAGTTCTTAGATGGCATTAGAAAGGATTGGTTTGTATTTCAATGTTTCTTTAAAGAATTTCTTTTTCTATGTGTATCCTTTGAAAAAAATGATAGCGCAATATATTATTATAGATCCGGGATGTCCAATCTTGTCAACTTTAAGACTTGTGGACTTCAATTCCCAGAATTTCCCAGCCAACAAATTTGCCAAGGTTGGACACCCGTTATAGATGCTAACAGTTCAGTATGGAATTATATAGACATTATTTAAACTCCAATATGTTATTACTTACTGTATATAAGCAAACTTGAGATATATAAGACTTGTGGCCCAAGGGTAGCACAACTTCAACCCACCTGGTTTTACCCACTTTAATAGTGGCTATATATTTTAAGGCTTAGTCTGTATCTTCAACTAGAATGTTAATTAGTCAGTGTTGATTAAAGTAATTCAAATCCTGAAATGAAAAAAAAATCTCTGTTCCAATATAGTTACATTCAGGAGACACGCCAAATATTTAAACTAACAGTAATAATCTATTTAAAATTGTTATGGTGCCATTCATTATTGATGCTGTGTACTCTGGTAATAGTTCTCCAAAACCTGAAGGTTTTTTACAGCCCTGTTATCTGAGGCACTCCAATTGAATTAAGGACCTTATTTTTGCTATGTATTCTACTTTATGTAAAAGGTATTTAGAGCTATTTGGGTATTCCAAAATATGCTCTTGGGTGTGTTCCTTTTCCCACTGATATTACATCCCCCGATCGTGCAGAATATAGCTTATGTAATGAATTTTTGTCAGCTGGATCTTGACATAATTTTATTAATGGGACTGGCTGCACTGAAGCGCTTTAAAACGCAGAGATCATTAGCAAAATTTCAAGGCCCAGGGAATTTTTGTCCTAGAATGATAGAGAAACAATGAAGTTAATTTACAAAGCCTGAAAGTCCTGATCATGAGAAATGTCTGAATGTAGCTGCTCAACCAACAGCATTTCCTATCACTAGTTTGTCCTTACTGCTCACTTTTGTGTTGCATGAACATCACGTGGGACGCAACTCTGAGGAACAGCTAGTGTGTCCAGCTGTGTATTTGTACTGGTTGAATGTATATTTATCTCTTAGCAGTAGGGTCAAAACTAGGATTTTTGTTCGCCTTACAAGGCATTATTCAGGATGTGAAACACACTAAATAGGTGGGAGTGACTTGAACATGTTGCAATTGGTGCTGGTGATACATGATTCTGTGAATCAGCGAACACCTAGAGGCAAACAAAATCACTACTAAAAGCCAACATGGGTTTGTCAAAAACAGATCATGCCAGACAAACCTTATTGCATTCTTTGACCAAGTGACAAAAATAGTGGATCAGAGGAATGCTGTGGATATAATTTACTTGGACTTCAGTAAGGCATTTGATAAAGTAGATCACAACCTACTACTCGATAAGATAGAAAAAAGTGGGTTAGACAGCATCACCACCAGATGGATTCGTAGCTGGCTGACCGGCCGTACTCAGCGTGTGGTCCTCTACATCTACATCGAGGGAAGTGTGTAGTGGGGTGCCCCAGGGCTCTGTTCTAGGCCCAGTGCTCTTCAACATCTTCATCAACGATTTGGACGAGGGGATAGATGGGGAATTCATCAAATTTGCGGATGACACCAAGCTGGCAGGAATAGCCAACACTCCAGAAGACAGGCTTAAGATACTGGAGGACCTGGACAGACTTGAATACTGGGCGCTATCTAACAAAATGAAATTTAATGGTGAAAAAAAGTAAGGTTCTACATTTAGGAAAGAAAAACCAAATGTACAGGTATAGTATAGGTGGTACCTTGCTCAATAGTAGTAACTGTGAGAGGGAGTCCTAGTGGACAATCACTTAAATATGAGCCAGCAGTGTGCTGCAGCTGTCAAAAAAGCCAACTCAGTGCTGGGCTGCATTAACAGAGGGATAGAATCAAGATCACGCGAAGTATTAATACCACTTTACAATGCCTTGGTAAGACCACACTTGGAATACTGCATCAGTTTTGGTCACCACAATGTAAAAAAGATGCTGTACTCTAGAAAGAGTACAGAAAAGAGCAACAAAGATGATTAGGGGACTGGAGGCTAAAACATATGAGGAACGGTTGCTGGAATTGGGTATGTCTAGTTTAACGAAGAGAAGGACGAGGGGGGACATGATAGCAGTGTTCCAATATCTCAGGGGCTGCCACAAAGAAGAGGGAATCAAGCTATTTTCCAAAGCGCCTGGAGGCAGGACAAGAAGCAACGGATGGAAACTAATCAAGGAGAGAAGCAACCTAGAACTAAGGAGAAACTTCCTGACAGTTAGAACAATTAACCAATGGAACAAACTGCATCCAGAAGCGGTGAATGTTCCAATACTGGAAGTTTTTAAGAAGAGACTGGACAGCTATCTGTCCAAAATGGTGTAGGGTTTCTTGCCTGAGCAGGGGGTTGGACTCGATGACCTCCAAGGTCCCTTCCAACTGTATTATTATTATTATTATTATTATTATTATTATTATTATTATTATTATTATTATTATTATTATTATTATTAAAACAAAGCAGAGATAGCCACTTTTTTGAAGACCGCCTTTGGGGAGCACAGTGAGTGTGAAAACGTATCGTGCATATCAGCATTCCAGTGTTTAAAATAAACTTCCTATTATTCCCCTTGGGGAAATTCTTTTTAATTTTAATTATTTAGGTTTAATGCTATAGATTTAATGAGATACCTGACTTCAACATAGGACATTTTGGCTGTGGGGTCAGAGAAAATGACTGGTTCACTAATTCTGGGGGAAAAAAATCAAGAAAGGAAATTTGTAGGTTTTCATGTGGTCCTGGACAGGCAAAATGCTTGTCCCTAGTATAAAACGCCAATATGGAAACAATCTACAACTTTTGCCAGAAAGAAAATTTGAGAAGTTAGTGCATTTTGCTTTTCTTAAATAAGGTGGCCTGCAAAAACCCACAAGGCCATAAGAAGGCAGCGAAGTGTTAGCATTGTCTGTATCAATTTCCTCCTATCTAGTGGTTATGTAGATTTTTGCAGCCCAAATTTGGTAATTCAGCCTCGAGAAATAAGTAACTGGGCACTAATGGAGGCAGTAGAATAAAATAAGGAACTGGCCAGTAGAGTTTATCTCATATGCATGTATTATTTTCATGGCAGTGTTCAATTTTTGACCTTGTTCCTACCTCATTTTGTTCATATGGTATTCATTCATTCTTCAAACTAACCAGAAATTAAGTGCAAAATTCCCAATAGAGCAGAATTTCAGATATCAGTTTTTATTCATAAATGATATAACAAGAGATGCATTGTGTTTTAGAATGAGACTTGGAAGTAATGAATCTGCAAAGTAGCTTAAAAGAATAAAAAACAATGGCAAAGAAAGAAGTCTGACATTGTGTGAACAAGGTATTTGATTTTGTTGAAAATCAAACATTCTAGTGTGATTTTTGTTGAAAATCAAACATTGTGCTTGTGTGGTCGGGACCTCACCCAACATATTAAGAATCAAAAGTTGTTTGGCAATCAATTTACCTTTTTTAAAAAGTAAGAGAACGGAACATCTGAGAATTACAATAGATATCCATTTATTTCTTGGCAACTACATTTTTTAAATGTAGAAACATGAAAACAAACCAGTTCTGTTGGCAAGCTATTTCCAAAACCTTGTAGCTCTGTACAAGTTTTTTTTTCTGTTAATGAATGAATAGAAGTTATGTGGAAATAGTTCTATATGACTTTTTAAATGATTTTTTTGTAGTGGACTGAAAATAATTAAAAAAATAGAAGTGCCTGCAGTATGGAGAAAATAGTTACTTAGAGAGCTAAACACAGCTAGTCAACTTACAATCATAAGTGAGCCCAAAATTTATGTTGCTAAGTGAGGCAGGTAAGTGAGTTGTGCCTCATTTTATGACCTTTTTTGCTACAGTTGTTAAGCAAATCACTGCAGCTGTTAAGAGATTCTGGCTTCCCCTCTTGACTTTGTTTGTGAGAAGTCAGCTGGAAGCTTACAAATAGCAATCACATGACCCTGGGACAGTTTAACTATCATAAATACAGTATATGCCAGTTGCCAAGTGCCCGAATTTTGATCACGTGACCATGGGGATGCTGCAATGATCATAAGTATGAAAACTGGTCATAAGTCACTGTTTTCAGCGCTGTTGTAATTTTAAATGATCACTTTCACAAATGGTTATAAGTCAAGGACTACTTGTAGGCAGTTGGATCTAGTGGTTAAGGCACCAGGCTAGAAAGCAGGATATCATGAGTTCTAATTCCACCTCAGCCATGAAAACCAGCTTGGTGACTTTGGGCCAGTCACTTTCATTCAGCCTAACTCAGGGGTAGGCAACCTTGGCTCTTTTATGACTTGTGGACTTCAATTCCCAGAATTCCTGAGCCAGCATGGCTCAGCTTGGAAACCTCTCCCTTTCCCCTCAGCGTGGCTAGCTCAGGAATTCTGGGAGTTGAAGTCCACAAGTCATAAAAGAGCCGAGGTTGCCTACCCCTGGCCTAACTCACCTCACAGGGTTGTGGTTGTATGGAAAAATAGGAGGAGGAAGATGTGTTGGATATGTTTTCTGCTGGATGTGTTATTTGTAAAAATAATAAAGGCAGGATACAATAAATAAAAAAAATCAATGTAGCATGTAACAACATAATTCTTTCATGAAATATTCTGACCCAGAAATAAAAAAAGAGCACCCCAGGAGTAGCTTTCTGCAGAAAGTTGTGCTTTATTGGATTTTTTTCCAGCTACAAGTTTAGCTGTAGCTATACATGATATCACATTTAGAAGTTATGCATGCATCCCCCTCAAAGCTAAGTACAAGATAAATGGTTTGCTAAACAGTTGCAAAATCAGCCAACTAACATAATATTTACATACAGCCATATTATATCCTTATACTTTCACAGTAATGTGCAAATGTTACAAATATGGCTTTTTTTTTCTAAAAAAGGAAGTAAGACATAATTGTACAGATTATGTAATATTTCTAAATAGTTAGGACTGTTTCACCTTTTTGTGAAACCGGTTGAGTTTCCATTAACTGTACAGTGCACTTAGTTGCCACTTCTATTCCTGTGGCACAGGTCACACGTATTTCCTAAGGCACAATATTAATGTTAAGATGCTTTAAAAATGAAGCCATGCTTTTTCCATATATGTGAATGAATATACTAGCTACATGTAACATGGTTGTACAAAATACAATGCTAAACACTATATTACTTGCTTAAGTTTATTTGTATCTATTAACATGAAACTACTGTATTCCGAAATCATAATATACAGGGCTGCATATTAAAACATTTGTTTTTGGTAATATTTGTTGTACATTTAGCAGAGAGTTATAAGGCTTCAGTGGAATAATCATCTTATAACTGAACAAATATTTTACATTCTTCAGTAGCGGTATTTACAATTGCTTTAACCCATTCTTTGTCATTTGGGAATTTATGCATATTTGATACACATCCTTCTCCATTGTCTAAAGTGCTTGCTTATCAGCGTGAGACAAAAAAAAAATCAGAACTACCTAAAACAAAACAACTTCACAAAAACAAAAACGGCATTTCTTGGGATCTGGACTGCATTCCTAGAAGCAGAAATTATTGCTAAATTCAAAACTTTCAAAAGGCAACTAAATATACTAAACATATTATGTTTGTGTATGTGTACACACACACGCGTATACGCACAATATGCATGCGTATATGCTAGGTCGCTACATGCATATACATCAATCAGTTGAGCAAAAGTTAGATTTCTTCAAATGTTTTTTGTCCATCAACCTTAATATTTTGTGCTGCTCAGTTACCTTGTGCTATGCTGAAACCAAAGAGAAGTCAATATATTGACAAGCTAGTATTACTAATTGTTCTACAATACCTAAGGAAAGAAATGAGAATGGCTGAAAATGTACAGCTGAGATGAGAATTTTGGTTTAAAAATGCACCATGAATAAGGCAGCAGGATGTCAAATACAGTTCAAGAGAGAAAATTGGAAGAAAAAAAACCTGGAATTCAGACACATTAGTTTACTTTCAATAGGGTTCCTCTATCTATACCAATTGACAGTTTCTGTGCCGAGAAACACTTTGGATGGCAACGACTTCAACACTGCCAATACAATTCCCTGATGCCACAAACTAACAAAATAAGGCACTTCCAGGGTTGTTGTCCAGTAGAGCCCGAAAGAAACAAAATCAGTTTTTGAGATTGGTTATCAGTTTTATCACATTTCCTATTTTAACCATAAAAATACTCCACACTGTATTCATTTCCTCCATTTTCCTTGAGATGATTTTTAAAAGGAGGCATTTCTTAGCTGAAGTCAACCAGTTCCTTTATATATATATATGCATAGACAAAGAGAAGAGGTAATTGTCAGCTCCAAACAGTCAACAAAATGGAAGACTAGAATGGTACCGGGGATTATCTTCCAATTATTTGATGTGGATATCTCAGCTAAACTTGTAGCTGACCAATTGTTAGTGGACATGGGTGCTGGAAAGATCATTCCTTATTATCTCATTTACTGCAAAAGAAAGAGAGAGAGAGAGAAAACAGAATTAGAGATCATTTGGTTACATTCTTCCAGCACTCTCTTGTGCTAAAGTAACATCCAAGGGCATTTCAGACTAACTGGCATAAGGAAGCAACAGATATCAAGTGATAAGTGATATAAGTGATAACATTGACCCAAACAGTCATGCTAACTTGTATGCAAAATCAGGGATCCCATTAGAAAAGGACTTGGGTCTTGGCTATAATGCATTCATTACATTATTGTTTACAGAAAAAAAAAATTAGGGATGTTTCTGAACACAAATATTATATCACACTTTCTATATAAACACTCATGTGCTGCAAATAAACTGCCAAGTTTGCAAGCGTAGCATCCAAAACTATAGGGTGCAATCCTGAATCCTTGAATATTCTGAGATTCCTTAGGTGGGATTCCATAGGCTGATATATCCACAGTAGAACTGATGAAAGAGGGAGGGAAGGAAGGAACTGAAAGTGGTGTTTTTGCTTTATCAAAAATGGTATTTACAAAATGCATAAATTTTCCTTAATGGTCAACTGCACGTGCATACGCTAAAAAAAAAAATCCATCAGGAGTATTTCTATCTATACAATACTTTGAGAGAAAGTAGTAATAACAGCATAACCTGCATGGATTGATAGCACAATATTATTGTTGCTTGTGGGTCTTTTTCTCCTCCTCTCGGGCTGCGTAGTTTCCCACACTCTGGTTATGTCCATTTAGCACTTGTGATTTTTGGCAAATGAACAGGAAATGACTGAACCTGGCAAAGGCCATCAACAGTGAGCTGCACAACATCCCTCTTTTTTCATCTCTTGGCGGCCCCTGCCATGACTTGATTGACACTGAGATAGGCAAAATGTCATCAGTACTGCTGTCACCACTTTGTAGCTTTCCTAACATCCCAGGGAAGGGGAAACACATGCCCACGTCATGGAACCATCCTGGGAAAGCCCATATTTCCCTTTGCTTGAAAGCTGTTGATCGTTCCTGTCCAGATAATTCCATGTGTTTATGCAAGAGGACTGCAGATTTGCACTGTTGAACTTTTCTTAAAAGCATGTGAGATCGGTTTAGTATTTTTCATAGAAAGGACTTAAATCACAAATTCCAGACTGCCAATGAGAGAACAGATACTGAGGAAAGGAATCTGCCATTTTATTTATAAACTCCTCAAAAACCTTGCACCAGAGGTGTCTTACCTACTTACTTACAAAGAGTTTCTCAACCTTGACAAGTTTAAGATGTCCCAGAATTCCCAAGCTAGGGAGTTGACATCCACACATCTTAAAGTTGCCATGGTTGAGTAACAGAGCTTTACACCAACAAAGCAGTTTGCAGCAAAATTTATAGTAACCTGCATGAACTCCAAAAAGGTACTGCAGCTCTAAACTAAGCTGGGCTGGATGACTGGAGAAATGAGCTGTGCCTGATTAGTTCTGCTGTTCCATACTTAATTTGAACAACTGGTGGATCTGACTGGCCACACAAGTTGCCTTATTAGACCCAATATGACCTGCAGTGTGTTTCCTGCATCTCCACCTAGTCTGATTCTTAGCCTGGTCTTGGCTCTGCCATCCACCTCTTAAACATTGGATCTCTATCAGCTTGTGTCAAAACTAGACTCCCAATAGTGGTGTATTTGCATATCTGACCGAGATCTGATACCTTAGAAAATTATAACGTGACAAAATTATAACATGGCAGACAATCTAGTGAAAAAAACCCATAGACTCTCTCTCTCTCTCTCACACACACATATACATGGAATATGCTGGACCTTTGAGAAATGTTAATAGAAACTATATTTTATGCAAACACAAACATAACCGCCTGCATTATGTACAGGTCCAGTCCATGTGTCATCAGTACTCCAAAGACGCAGAAGAGCTGGAAAGAAAGGAGTAGTTTAGTAGGTAAGTATGCTATAGTAAACACAGTTGCTAACAGAAGTGAATTAGGGGAAAACTGAACAAAACCAGGAAAATCCCTGACTGTTCACAATCAATTTTCCAACACATTATACCAACACCAGTAATATGAGAATGAAGAATATGTAATGCAGATGCACTAAATTGACTTTTAGCCTAGCTTCGTTTATTTACAATGGGAAGGTTCCTTTTCATAACAAAAGGAATATTTCATCAATTAGGCTTAAGAAAACATAAATCTGGCATATGATACAGATATCTGTCAAACTCTTTCTCCATCAAATCTGAAAAGTCTGTATGTCTGTCAGGAAAGAGAGTCAATTCCTTCTCCATGGTGCTGGTTACATTAGGGGCAAGGGCCACAAACTAACCAGCAGTTAATATTCGTCTTTAACACTCCTGGAATAGAATTGGAAACTGTAAGGACAGATCTCAGTGTCCTTCACCAGTAAAGGCAGCTGGGAGGAAATGTTTTATTTCCAGTGCTTGTTTCATTATCTTGCCTGCTGTGAAATCCTATTAGTGTATGGCTCATTCTACCTACTCCTACAGAAATCATTTAAGCCCAATTCCACATGGAAGGAATTGATGTTTTATATCCACTACACGCTACTACTGCCATTCCATAAACTGAGGCACTGTGGGCTCCTCCAACAAGGAGGAATCCATAAGTTTCCATGCCAAACAAATTAAAAAAGTGAGAATTATCTCCCTATATGTGATGAAGCTTTGACTTGTGAACCCTAGCCAACCAAAGTATTTATCTGTCACTGGGAACAGAACCATCTTTTCCATGTCTACTTGGAAGCAGGGTTTCCTGCATCCATTACAGCTTAGTTCCAAGTAAATGAGGATAAAATTGCTGGGACAACAAATCCCTGTTGATGCACACTATGCACCAGAGCTCTGTGGGCAACTGATAGAACAACACACAAGCATCGATAAAAATGTGGTTTTAAATTCATTCCCTCAGGAAGTGTCTGAAACTGAAAAGAAATTTCATGTGAAATTTTATGGAGAGTTTTTAGGAACTAAATCTAACTGAGTTATTCCCAGGTAAGGACGTGTGTAGCATTGTAATTCATGTCAAGTTGAAAATGAAGTATTTTAGTGTCTGTTTTCTGGTACATTTCCAGTGGATCCAAAATCACAGGATAAGACATCATTGTCTTTATTCATTTTATTAATGACACTATTTATGGAATGTAGACTATGAGTCCTGACCCATTTATTTGATATTTATTTTGGTTACTTTATTTTGAAATACAGGATTATTTTATTTCTGAAACATTGGATTCCAACTGCTAGAAATATAAGGTTCTAGTACCTATTTGGCTCATAAACCTTCCTACATACATTCTTCCATTGATGACTTCTCTTCCCATTTGGAGACAAATGTGATAATTATATCTTTTTGGGAATAAGATGTTTTTCTATGTAGGTTAATTAGGTCGATGTTGATTTTTCAAATGAGCTAAGAAAGATAAGTGAAAAGTTGAAAATCATACCGTACATTTATGACCAAAGTCTAGAAGTTTTAATGTGTAGTAGTTGTGATGCAATCATATACAGTATATATGTGTAAACTCAGCAACAAATTAATTCAATGGGCCTTATTTTAAGTAAGTGGATATAACATTGTAGCCTAGAATATTCCTATTGCACCCTAGAATATTCCTATAGGTGACCAGTTCTTCCTAGTAATGCTTTGCATACTTTTAAAAAATATGTATTATCTGATAAAATTATCAAGTTAACACCCCCAGTTTCCCAAAACATTTTCCAATTTTACAATGTGGAAGTTTCCATAGTCATGCTCACTTTTCCACTGACATCATATTTTTTTTTTAAAAAGTGAGCATAAAGTTTAAGAATGAGCACAAAAAAGTCACAAGAATGAAAGAGAAGTACTTTATCATGTGGTCACATTACCTGCCAAAGGCCTCAAAAAGGAACTTTTCTGTTGCTCAACACATAAGAGGCCACTGCAACAGGATGTGGCAAGCTGTTACACTACAGTTCACAAAGAGGGTTTTTAAATGTCTTTTATTTAACATTGAAAAAAAAATATTTTCATTAAATTCTAGTTTTTTTTCCTTTCCCTTTTTTTACCTTAGAGCAGATCTAATATATTTATAAAATTAACACAATAAAGTTTCAAATGCTATGATTCTAAAAGCAAAATATAAAAATATAAACTATTTTTAAAATCATCTCTCCTTTCCAGAAAACCAAATTGAACACCTTTTAGCAGCTGGGAAGCACTGTGTTATTTCTAATAATATAAAGCCTTATGTATATATCATCTTGATCCCAATGGAAACCTATCAAACTTTTTATTAATTACAATATTGTTAAATTATGCATTATATATATCAAATTATATCTTTTTCACTTAAAAGGTCCAGGTTTTCCTAAAATAATCTGAACCAGATTTATGGCAATGAAATTGATTTCAAACCAAAGGAGATATAAAACTGTAGATCTATGGTGGTGCATGATTTAATGAGGAAAAAAAAATACAAGTTCAGATTTGCTATGGCTTTACATAATGAGAGTGTAAGTTAAAGACTGTGTCATATAAATCTATAAAAGAGTTTAAAGTACATACTACAAAAAAGATGAACCTGAAATTTTATAACTCAAGATTAATGTTCCTATTGAAAAACCTGATCCTAGATTTTTTTTCTAGTTTGATTTCAAAAGAATTTAGCAATGCTTAAATTAATCATACAGCATGAGAACTCTAGGAATGATATCACATGCTGTGTTATGTTGTTGTTATATTAATGTTGTTATGCTATGCCAGTGATGGCGAATGTTTTAGAGACTGAGTGCCCAAACTGCAACCCAAAACCCACTTATGCATCGTCGGGTGCTGAGTGGATGTGGCCCCTTGGCTGAGTGTGGCCCATTGGGTGGGCATGACTGCAGTGGTAACGGCAGACTGGGTGGGACTAAAAAGTTCAATCAATCAATTCCAACTTTGCCAGGTCTTTTTTTTCCCGCGAGAAGTTGAAATTAACTGATTGATTGGACCTTTTTTTTTTGTACACG